ATGTGATCAAAAGCGTCAAACCGGCTTCGTGGAAATAGCTAAGATTTTCTCGGCGCGCGCCCGGTCGTGACAGGAATTTATACGTAGGCCTACAATCTGCCGATTGCAGCGCGAAAATCTATATTGTTAATCAAAGGAAGTCGAAAACGCGCAAATGTTAAATAAAAACCAAGATATCCTTCTAACGCATTCAATTAAATACGCATGCTCTATAGGGCAAAACAGTGTATCATCTAGTTCGCATGGTAATTTCAGGTCTGCTCGTCAGTTGTTGGTAGATATCCAGGCCAAATTTCCTAACCCTAATCCTATCCATAACCCACGCTCTAACCCTCACCCTAATCCTAATCATAACCCACACTTTAATCCTATCATAATCCTAAACATAACCCATGCGCTAACCCTAACTCTAATCGCGGACGTGTATGCGTGTGAGTGTGATGTGTTTCTTCGTACGCGGGTGTGTGAGCATGTGCTACTTGTGTATACGTGTACGTCTGGTGTAGTATATGTATATGCATGCGCACGTGTGCGAACGTGTATGTGGGCGTGTGTGTACGTTTTCGTGAGTGTGTGTGCGTGTGTCCATGTGTGCGTGTGTGCATGCGTGCGTCTGGTATGTGTATGTGTAACGATATTAAATTTTCTACACGATAGCCTAAAAACCGGCGTGAAGCCTCGCTCTGTAAAGCAAAATCACAGAAAAAGACGAAAAATCCTTCTTAACGGCCGAGTTCAAAACGAGGCTACATTTGGCGCAGATCACCTGCAAACAGAGCCGAAAGTCAGGTCAGTGGCGTAGCCAGGATTTTTTAACAAGGGGGGGGGCAAAAACAGTGGATGACTTAATATTTTAATAGTTCCTCCACCTCCTTCTCCACACCCTACGCTCCCCAACCTCTCAGTTCTGCAATCTTTGCTTTGGGCGCCATGCAGAAAAGAGACATTTTTGTTCGTTGTTCTCTGCTCCGAAGATATGTATAACTGTTCAGTGGCGAATCGAGGATTCCACGGTAGGGGTGAACAACAGGCGGGGGATATGGGGGTCCTCCCCCAGAAATCTGAAAATTTAGATCACAGAAGATGGTATTTGAGGCACTTTTGAGTACATGTACAGCCTTCATTCTGACTACGACAATTCTCTTTTTAGTAGAACAATTTTTTTCACTTTTGGATCAACAGGGAAGGGGCATAGCCCCCTTTGGCCCCCCTAACTATGCCACTGAGTCAGGCCATTGTACACGTGGAACTGAAAAAATAATTCATATGCAACAACAGAAATAACCCATAACAATAACAATCATTGCGTTTCGAAAAAATAATGCCATCAAAAAAACGACAAGAGTAGTTGTTTTCTTTTGAATTTGACGACCAGAAAAATATTCCGTTTTTACTTAGACTGACCCACAGTCCGTTAGTTTCGCTTCATCTACATCTATCGTACGTAGATAAAATTAAGTATTCAGGCAATGTTGCGGACGTATACCCGTCTATGTCATTGCAGCTAATACGCTATTGCGAAACTGCTAGCGTGCTTGCAATATTAATTACATGAACGAGAGTAAAGCGCAGAGTATTAAACGTTTTTAGAGACAGAGGAGGGAAGAAGGGGGTGAGGGAGAGAGCGTGTGCGACAGGAAGAGAGAACGCGAGGGAGAGAGAGCACGAAAGAGAAAGAGCGAGAGAGAGAGAGAGAGAGAGAGTCCGCGGGGACGAAAAGGGAGAGAGGGAGAGCGACGCGAGAGACGGTGTAAGAATAATCGTGTGTGCAGACATTTGAGCTATACGGGAGCATTCCCACGGGTCCCTTTGCTTCAGTCATCTACTAGAGCGCCTCTAAATTTACTATGATCTATTTCACGCGACCGTCATCAATATACGATCAAGTTTGATTAGTCTCATAATTTCTTACGTCTGTGAATAAAAATAATAAAATTTCCGACCAATTGTTCTTCGGTTGCACATCTGTTGCTATACGGACAAGGCAAGGCGTCGAGCATGCAAGCACTTCGTTCATATAACTAACAACTACTAAATCTAGCAGGCGTCTTGTTAAATTAGGCAAAACCTGAGATAAGAAAGGTGTATAGACCAACGGCTAGCACTCAGAACATCGGGCTGAAAAGTATCGGGGTCGAGTCCCGCCATAGTCGATGCTACATTGTTCCTAAGCAAGTCACGTCAGTATCGTCAGCATCATCTGCATCGTCAGCATCATCAGCATCGTCAGCATCATCAGCATCGTCAGCATCGTCAGCATCCCGATTATCTTCAGTCGACGTCAGAGTTGATTTTCTCCATCGTTCCAAATTGGGAGGTTGTGGGGGTAGAAATCGGCATTATCGGTTATGCTATCACCGATAGTATACTCTAGCTACCTGCTCCTCTGATATATTACAACCACATATCCCAGTAATATATTCCAGCAACAAATGTGTCTAGCATTATGAAATATATTTTTAAGTTATTTGTCAAATAATAACTATGAGCGTGAAGTATTTAAATAATATGGCTTTAAGTATGGAATGAATATTAAGCGAAATTGCACCCGCGCGTATTTATTCTACGTTTGTTATATTCTGTCCTATTCACAGTGTCGGATAATTTCTGCATCGGCACCATGATACGAAAAAGTATTATCATTTCGAAATAGAATCTCAACTTTAAATTCGAAGTTTCAACCACCAGAGCATTCATGTTACGGTGACGGTGCATTATAGGCCGCTGCTATAACAATATTATATCATCTATATAACATAATAATATTTTGTTTATAGTTTAATGTAATAATAATAATAATTAATAATAATAATAATAATAATAATAATTATAATTAATAATAGTGTAAATATGAATGATATGTACGATGCAGGATATAGGGAAGGGAGGAGGGCATAAGAGAGGTAGGTAATATTATCTCCTGATATTATTTATTATTATCCTAAAGATTTGATCGGCGATACATTAGAGTTACTACGTGTACGCGATAACGATATATGAAAAGGGGAAGGGATGACGTGGGAGATGTAACGATGTAGAGGGATGGGGAGGGGAGAGGAAAACGGGGGGAATGCGGCGATGGTTTTGATTGGGGTATCAGGGTTATCTCCGCAATATGCATATGTCCTTTAATTAATTCTCACCATGATGATCATCTTGCGCAACCGGGCCACAGTCGTTGTTATCCGTGCCTGCCACACACGACGCGCGCGCGTATAGTAGTAGTAGTAGTAGTAGTATAGTGGTAGTAGTAGTAGTAGTAGTAGTAGTAGTAGTAGTAGTATAGTAGTAGTAGTAGTAGTAGTAGTATATAGTAGTAGTAGTAGTAGTATAGTTGTAGTAGTAGTAGTAGTAGTAATAGTAGTAGTAGTAGTAGTAGTAGTAGTTAGTAGTAGTAGTAGTAGTAGTAGTAGTAGTAGTAGTAGTAGTAGTAGTATAGTAGTAGTAGTAGTAGTATTAGTTGTAGTAGTAGTAGTAGTAGTAATAGTAGTAGTAGTAGTAGTAGTAGTAGTAGTAGTAGTAGTAGTAGTAGTAGTAGTAGTAGTAGTAGTCGTTGGTCATGACGCAGACGGGCGCAGCGCGAGGAACGCAGTTAATTCTGCTCGCCATAGTTTTCCTACCACACACACATGCATACGCACACCCGCGAACGCACGCACTCACGCACGTACGCACACATACACACACGTACACACGAACGCTCAGACACGCGCCCGCACGCGCACGTACGCACACGCAGGAACGCACACGCACGCACGCACATACATGAGCTGCGGCCAATGATTGCGTCCACCATGCATGACATGCAATTTGTGTAAATCGTAATCATCGCAACGGGCCGTCTCCGATCTCCCCTTTGCCTCCCCTTGCCTCCACTTCCTCCTTCCCTTTGCCTCCCTTAGCTCCCTCCCCTCCCCCGTCCTCAGCCTCCCTTTCCTCCCTCTCCCACTCCGCCCTACTGCCGCTATTCCTTTTTCAGACCTATCCACCCGCTTTATCCTTCTCCTTCCCTTGACTTCCTTCCTCTACATTCCTCTCCCTCCCATTCAATTCACTGCCTTTTTTCATTCCTCCCTTTCGTCCCTCACCCGATTCTCCCTGTTTACTACTCCGTCGCTTCCTCTCATTCACCAACTACTCCTCCGTTTACTCGTACTCCCGCTGTCCCTCCCAACTCCCTCGCTCCCATCAATCCCTTCATTCCTCCGGGCCACTAATTTCTTCCCGCTCTCCCTACCTATTTCCTTGTCTCCTTCTCTCTCTCTCATCCCTCACCATCACCTTACTTCCTTTCTTCTCCTGCCCACCTGCTCCCTCGTTCACCTTTTCCAACTTCTATTCCCTCGTTTTCATCCTTCGCTCCTACTCCTTCTATTCCCTCGTTTCCATTCCTCGGTCCTACTCCTTCCTTTCCCTCACTGAAATCTCCCTCGCTCTCCAGCTCATCTGCGGGGGTGGCTAGACGTCATACCGCAAGACGTCTCGGCCACAGCCACGCTGGTCGCCTGCTCGCCTCGCCGCGAGAGGGCACCGCATCGATTCGTGACGTCGGCGCGCAGCGGCGGACTGCTCCGATGTCGGCGATATAAGCGCGCGGCGGCGGCCGGCGGGCCCGACACACGAAGGCGACCGCACGCAGACGCTGGAATACACGTCACAGAAGCGCACTGCATACACCCACGGAGACATCTTCATACACACATATATAACACTCTATCTCTCTATCTCACACACGCACGCAGCAGCAGCAACAAGTTTGTTTCCGAGTTGGCATCGTCTCGACTTAGAGAGGGAGACGGTAACGGTTGGTGTTTGAATTCGACGCAGAGTTATCCCAGATTTTCAGTCGTAAAGGCAACTATTGTTTGCAGCAGCAGCAGCAGTAGCAGCAGCAGTAGTAGCAGCAGCAGCAGCATCAGTAGCAGCAGCAGCAGCAGCAGTAGCAGCAGCAGTAGTAGCAGCAGCAGTAGCGGCAGCAGTAGCAGCAGTAACATCAGCAACAACAACAGACGCGAAAATGAAGACATCGTGTGTGATCACAGCCAGCTTTCTCATCGCAGCCGTCATCACAGTCGTATGTGGTAAGTATACTATCCAGTACGGTAGAGCTCTGTTACCACTGTCTGTCGTTAGATCTGTCCGTCGTTAGCTCTGACCTCTGAAAGAAAATCGTAAAGTTCGACCACTACCACTAGCATCAGGGTTCACCACATATATATACTTAATATATACATATAATATATATATATTATATATATATATATATGTGTGTGTGTGTGTGTGTGTGTGTGTGTGTGTGTGTGTGTGTGTGTGTGTGTGTGTGTGCGTGTGTGTGTGTGTGCGTGTGTCTGTACGTGTGTGTGTGCGCGCGCGTGTGTGCGTGTTTGTGTAAAGAATTGTGTAAGTATATGATACAGGTGAGTTGTATCCTGTAGCTAGTGATCGGTAGGCGTTGGTGGAAGGTGAGAGCGGGCAGGGGCCAGGAGCACATCGTTTACAGACCACCCATGTTGTTAATGCTAACATGTTTCGCGCTTCAATCCACAGGGGCGCGTTGTCAGAAATATATCACAAATAGTTATGACTGTCAAATGTCAATGTATGTCACGAGTGTCATGAAAGTTAGTATGTATGTCAAGTTATGCCATGAATATAAATGTCACGACGTTTGCACGAAACTTGCACGCACTTCAAATGTTACGAAATTTGCGACTTAACCTGCAACGTTATCTTAACTATTAATGACATTTCTGACAACGGATCCCTGAGAAGTTCCACACAAATCAAAATTTTTTGAATCGTAGTTGGAATATGTGAAAATAGTTGACAATATGCTGAGCATTTTGTTATATTAGATTAGTTTATTATAGCAAGTTTATATTCGTTAGTTGTGGCCTCATAATTAAAACATGCAAAAAAATATCGGTAGCATTTGCTTCTAAAAATTAGCTATATGCGGGTAGTAAGTTTGCAGAAGGAATAGGTGTCGTGTAAGCGATATTAGCCTCGTTGAAGCTCGAGTACGTCAAACTCGTGTAAGTCGTTGATTAGTAGTCGATACTTGTCAGCAACGATGATAATGATAGTCATGGCAAGGGTTGCTATGGGTGAGCTTCTGCGCGCTGAAATACTCATTGTTGTCGAGCAAATCGGCGGAATGTCGACAAGTCAAAGCGATGATTCCGCGAATCGATAGATCTTTTGTCCGCAGATAAAATCTTCTCGCAATTGCATACAAGTATCTATGGGCTTGCCCGTGACCGAGGACACCCAACCTCGCCCTCTTTATCGTCGTTCGGATGTCCGTGAATTCCAATCAGTTTTTCAATTAATAAACTAGGAACTTAGAGGAGGAGGCGCGTGTAAGCTGCTGTGTCGGCGATGTAATATCGAATACGGTATGGGCCTCCGTTAATGTGTGCAGCCCTGTTCGCATGTCGAATAAGTGATACACTTATACGTGTGCGCGTATATTTTCAATAAGGTTTATGCGTGTGTCGAATATGCGCATAAACGCGTGTGGTCCGTTATTTCTCATTAATGTAATTTGTCTGTGATAATCGCGTGGACGTGAAGGTGTCAGGCACTGGCGTGATATCTCCTCAGCGTAGCTTTGCAGGGTTTTTATGGTATATATATATCAGGAGTGTATAATAGGGATTCCCTATTATACACTCCTGAT